GACTGCATCAGTTGCGTCTTCCTTTTCACTTTCCCCACCTACACTTCTGGAAACTTAAACTTCTGCCTGTTCCCTGGCAAATGTTCCTCCTGGTTCACTTGGACCCAGGTTTTTGCCTTCTGCCTGTTGCCCTCAGCTGCCCCCCTTGGAGGGGAGTCTACAGGTGAAATGCAGATAACATCTGGTGGCAACATCTTCTTCAGATAGAGAAAGACTCTGCAGTATAACTTGTTATTGACAATTCAGTGCACTCACCGTGGCAATTAAATTAACTGACAAAGGAGTTATGGCTCCTTCATTATAGCTGTGATTATACTCTTAATTTCATGATTTGGTAATGGGTAAAATGTTTGACACCCTTAAGAGTGCATTGGCAGAGTGTTTGCTGGCAGACCAGGCTCCCTCTGCCCTTTCTCCAAACTGGTTGGCTCCCAGTGTGGCTGAAATACCTCCTCTGCCTCTGGGGGACTGGAGAAGGGCAGGATGAGCTTGTGTGTGCTCACAAACTGCCCTTTGAGATGGTCCCTCATTGCCTTTAAACCCTGTTTTCAAAGCTGCTGTGTGCAATAGAGTTTTTCAACATATCCCCATGCTTCCCCTTACTCCAAATCTTTTGTAGGGTTGGTGGGGAGCCGAAGGAGGCTTGGGAAGTGCAAAGCCATGCTGGCAGCCACAGGCACGCTGAGGAGCCAGAGAGTTGTGGCTCTTGGTGCAGAAATGGGTTCAGTTCCTATAAATCCAAATTGCTTCAGCTGCCGTCGCCAGGCTTTGGGTGATGCCTGATCCATCCCTTGTTACCTCAGGTTAATCCACGCGAAGGGCCTCTGCCCGGGGGTGGCCCCAGAGTAGCTTGGCACGAACACCATGGCATACCCTGGTGGCATGCAAAACCAGTGACTTTCACGTGCTCCTCTTAAACAGGTGCTTGCACAAAGCTTCAGAGGGTGGGATAATTAAACCATGTCATTTTTAGGAGGTCACCTCTATGCTCTGGACCTCAGGATGGTTGGTAGGCCAAACAGTCTCACACAGAAACAATTAAAGGCTCACTGGTGGGCTGGTTTCTTAGTGTAAGCCTCATGGATTTGGCGTGATGCTGGTCGTGATAAAACATTTCAGTTTTTCTGGCTGTTTTTTCTTCCCTGTAAGAAAAAATAAAAAAAAAAAGAATCTCCTGAGCCTACTGTTTTCTGCAAGGGGGAAAAAATTCTGAAAAATTGTTTCAGATGAATATGTTCTGTGACATTGAAAGTGATTTTCAGTGGAAGGTGTATATACAATTCATGGACTAGCATAGTAGTTTTCTTTTGAAAAGTTCAGGTTTGTGTTTATATCCAATAGTGATATATAATCTTACTGAATAGTAAAATCAGAACAAAACCAACCTTCTTTCAGTCATTTTCCTGACCTAGTGCGTACACCTGAGCTGTAGTTTGCACGTATGCATGTTGTTCAAATGACTAACATTCAGCCTTCCCTCTCTTACAAAAAACCTCCAACAGTGCTGACTTGGTGGGAGATCAGAAATCCCTTCGGGAGTGGAGGTCTGTGACGCCTGCCCAAGCTGTACTTCAGCAAAGGGCAATTACTATATATATAATATTCTTGTGAAAATACATCCGAAGCGTAGGACCCTAATTTTCCAGCTGAGTGGTGATGGGCTGCAGATGTCTTCTCAGAAACGCACACCTTTGACCTTTCCTTGTTGTTCCACCGTGCATTTGCAAACAGGCGTGAGAAGCATGAACGATGACAGGTGGGCTTGCCACCCGGGCAGTGTGAAGCCGGCAGAACAAGTGGGATGCTGTGCCAGGAACAAAATTGTTTGAGCAGCCGTCTGGTCCAGAGAGGCAGCTGCAGTGGAGAACACCAGAGCACCAACTTCGCACACTTGTAAAAGACGGGGCCTTTTTTATCCTGGCACATCCAGCCCGCGTGCGAGGCTTCGAGTTATCGTTCAGGTAGTTGAAGCCAACCGTGCTGTGCTGTAAGGTCAGGATCTCTTGTGCTGCACACAGCTGTATATTTACACAATGCCTTTTGTCTGTACGGCCCAAGTGTGCATTTAATCTGAACACAAGATGGTTGCCTGGCCCTCTGCTCCCCAGAATGGCTTAAAAGTACATGTAGGGGTAGTCATGGCTGAAGTAGACAGGTTGAGCTTTGCCGGGGTGTGGGTAAATGCCAATATTGTGCGTGTGTGGTGTAATACACAATGCTTTGTCTCCTCTGCCCACCTGGTGACAGACAAGCGAAGCAGCTGTGCGCAGCACAGCTGGATAATCTGCTATCTTACTGTAGCAATTGCTGCTAGCCCGCCAAAGCAAGCTTTTTGCAAGTGTCTCTGATGCGATGCAGTGAGTTATTAGCAAACTGAGGCCCAGGAAAGGTGCTTGCTGCATGAGAGAAGCTGTTGAAGGTACTGAGTTGGCAGAAAGAAGAGGGAGGGAGCTTGGGAAGCCGACAGAAGAATCAGCGAAGTAATGTAAAGGAAAGCATTGCTGTGGGAACCGGCTGACAGTCAGCCTGGGGTAGAGTCCAGGCAGAGCTGCTGGCGCCTGGCCAGCAGCTGCTGGTCACCGAGCGGAGATGGGAGAGAGCAAGTACCAAACACGTACAGAAATCCCCTCAGCTGCCAAGCCCCCCTTAGCACAGTTACCCACTGTAAGCCAATAAACTATGGTTTGAACAAATACCGTGGGTAGAGTTTGGAGAATTTCTTGGAAGCCCTGGTCCTAAAGTCTATTACTTTGAGATCAGTAATTAGGCTTCAAAACATGTGTCTAAAGTGGGATTTAAGGAGTGAATGTGTCAGGCCATATATATTCTGATGTGCTGTAGGTCAAAGCCTCTAAGAAACAGCAGGCAGTAACACGTAACATCCTTTCATTGCTGCCTTACGCTAACTCTGGTTTTCCCTCATCTCACACCAGCACATGGTAAATTCCTCCAATCTGTCACATTTATCTTTGAAAGTGACTTCTCAGGCAAGTGGAGGATCTCTCCTCCTCTTTCTCTCTCTCTCAGTTCAGGAGAGCCTCTTCCTCTTTCATAACATTATCATGAACCCAAAATCTGTTTTATCAATTTTTTCCACCATTTTATGAAAAAGTCGAGCCAACTTCTACCTCCCTGCAGTGTGCGATGCTAGGACAGAGTCAGCGAGGGGGAAAAGGCTTGTCAAGCCAATGACTGCATTTAACTTACGTTGCTTGTTTCTCCCTCTCCTTGGAGACACGTACAAATGAAAATTCAAGAGACCAGAATAAAAAAAAAGCATGGCTAGATAGAGGGTGGCATTAGCAACAAAATGGGAAAGGACATTTTGTTCATGTCACAACAGGATCTATTTTAAGAGCTTGTTGTATGTTTCATGTCATAAAATCACATGCCCACTGCAGAGAGCACTAAAATAGTCCACTCCAACCACTTCAGACAGGATGTATGGAAATAATCAGCATTAGTTTGAGGTAAGAACAAATAGAGGCAACTATCTAATGACGCAGAATAAAGAGAGAGAAGAGCAGGATTTTGCTCAAGTAGATTTAAAGAGCCAGTGGCATTGGAAGGATTATTAGGGATGATAGAAGTGGTAATTTGTTTGACCTAGTAACTGCTCTACTTGGTGGCCATCCCTTTGAATATGAATATCCCGTTGAATATTTCCAGTAACACTCCTGGAAACAAAACAAATGTGTTCAGATCTCCTCTGGGCTGGAGGAGACTGCTTTTACTGCTGAGGCAGAGGAGGGGTCAGATGCCATCAAGTGCTTTAAGAACACACTCTCTCTTCAACTGGCAGGAGCATCTCAAAATGATTGTGTTTTTTCTATGTACAGCTCTAATTAAAGGTCTAGGTTTCAATTAGTCTCTTGTTTTCCTGGCCTATAACGTTACATGTCGGTCAGAACATTTTGTTTTAAGCAGAAAGTTCACCTGTAAAGGCCCAGCCAGTATAGATACTGCTCTGAGTTGTTTTTAGTTATAGATGAGGTGTGATTTTAAAAATGTATATAGGAACGAGGCATCCAGGTCCTACTGAATTTCACTTTGATGTAAGCATAAAACCCACCTAGATGTCTTCAAAGCATCTTGAAGGGCAAAATGTAACTGTGCTTCAAATTCATTTTCAAAGATGACTGGTCAAATTTTCAGAACACTTTCAGATTTTAGGTTTAAAAATATTTTAAAATTGATGTTTTCCGATTCCAGTGTTATCTCCTCCCAAAGTCCCCTCAAGCTAACACCAGTTGCGTTCAGCCTAGTGCATGTACAGATCCTTCTCAAGTGTTCCACCTCTGTTAACGGGACATGAAGTGTAGACGTGATAACACACATCCAGCAGTCAAGTTCTGCTGATGACCAGACATTAACTTTAAAAATGAGCTAGTAAGTTGTGTAAACACGATTGGGAAGCAGCCTTTTTTCCTGATGAACATTATTCAGGCTCTCAGGTGTCAGAGGGACCTCATCTCCTTGTCCAGCTTTCTACAGCACCTCTCCCATGGGTTATCATCTCGACAGGAACCTGGTTCCCCCCCATGGGAAAATTTCTCTTTCCAAGTATAACCAGGGAGATACCTGATGAAATGATGACTCAGCAACTGGCAATGTGTGAGGTAGACTTTACCACCTACATTCCCCAGGAGCCCCTCTGCCCTCAATTTCCTTTGCCTGAGCCTTCCCTCTACGCCCCCCACCTCTGCTTTGGGCAGGTTATCTGCCCATGTGGGTTATCTCAGGAATAATTTTCAAGCATCGTTACAGTAGGAGAGGGGCAGGTGACATGAAGTGCAAGCTATGTGGGCAAGATGCTGTTAGCTGTCTTTCAGGTTAATTTGTAATGCTTTGAAAGGTGACAGCCCAACTTCATTGACGTGGTGTTTTGTCTGAGGAATAAGCAGAAATCCAAGCAGGGCTGCTGTTCTTGTCTTTTTATCTGCTGTTGGGTAGGCTTTTGTAAGAAACGTTGTATTGTCAGAGTTAAATAACACAGTAACTGAGAAATAGATCTTTATTATTAGAATGCTTATATTCTAAAAACTTGTATCTGGGGTTACAGTACAGTCCAATTTCTTTCTAATTAACTAACCTGGCATTTGTTCAGCAAGTAACTGTAACTTAGGATTTGAAAAGTTTAAGAACATGCAACTTCTTTTACTCTCTTTTTCTCTTCTTCCCCCAAAAGGACAACTTACAGTCAAGATTTTGGCGCGATAAATAATAAAATAAACATCTCATTTGCGAACTAGTAGTTGCACTTAACTTTGGTGACTAACAGAGTAGATAGGCATTTAAAAATAAAAATACTCTTTCAGTGTCAACTGGATAAAGGAACGGATGAATATATTTTACTTTATTATCTTTCTAAAGTTCACCTTTATTATCTTCAAAAAGGGTCATTTTTTTCAGGTTTGTAAAAGGATGTGGGAAGCAACAGAAAAAACTAAAGGATGTTTCTATTTTGTGGCTTGCCTAAGAAAGTTGTCATAACATACGATCTGACCCAAACCCATGCAACACAATTAACAACTCCTTTTCACCACACACAGTGCCTAGCATAAGGCCAAGTGCGGCCTTGTGACGTGGTTAAATAAACATTAAAATGTCATTACAACCTAAATACCTGAATTGGTTTTACACTGTGACTTTCTACTGAAACAGTGTTGAGAAACTTTAAACATATATCTGATTGTTCCACATACACTATTTAAAATAAAAGTGAGGAATAATACTCTCTTTCTTCACTCTGCTACTTTCTGGGAGCTCTGTACACTGACAAATGTATGACATCTGTAGTTACCTGATCCTAGCTGACTGACTGGTCATCTTCTGCTTTAAAAATATTGCAACTCAGGTGCTTATTGCAGCAGTAATCATAGTGATACACTGCCTGTTAATACTCAGTTCTGCTTACAGTCATAGTTATAAAAAATGGAAAACATTTTTCACAAATCTTTGTACACATACTGTAAAAATCACCTTCCACAAAAACAATTTACATCTGTTATGAGCATTTGAAAAATAAATTACACAGACTTGTCTCACCTATCCTTTCTTTTTCTTGAGAAAACAAATCTCATCAGTAACATCGACAGGATGTTCATATCTGTAAACATGGCACGAGGATTCATGTTACCAAAAAACTGTACACACAAAAAATCATCTTGATAAATACTCTGATAAATAAGGATCCTTTTAATTGGCACAAACCAATGTAAACATGCGCATGCCTGTCCTGCAATCATCTCTAACTTCCTTGCTTTTGGGTTTTTAGTTGAAATTCAGGGATCTTTCAGCCCTGTAAAGATTTTTCAGAGATAAAAATGTGAAGGGTTTCGGTTATGATCATAGCCATTTTAGGCCTCTCGCCTAAAACCAAGCACAGGCATTGAACATGGTGCCATGCAATGTTACACGTTGCTTTAGCCTTTCACTTGCTGTGCCACAGCTGGTAACAACCTGCTGCTGGCACGTGATACTGAAACTTCTCCTCTGGCTCATGGCGGGCCGTGCTTGTCAGGGCTGCAGTACCAGCTTCTGGTCTCCTCGTTGAATGAGACCAGAGGCTGGTACGTATAGCAAAACCATACAGCTTCTGGAATTTGAAAGCTGTGCTTGAGACACCGGAGCAGCCCAAACTTGTACCAACAGACAACGTGGCTGCTGGCAGGATCAGGCTGTTTAATATATGGAATAAAATGTGGAAATGTGCCCCATCGGGCGTATGGCAGAAAATCCAGGGTAGCAATCTACTGCTGTAAACAGCCTTCAAGCAACTCAAGTAGACCTTTTGCATCTAAGTATGTCTGTGCAGGTAACAGTTAATCATTGATCTTATACCTACCTAAGCTGAAAGATTGACTATTTAGGTGCCGATTAAATGGATTCTTCTGAACTTCAGCAACAGCACAGATGGAAAATAAATTACCAGGCCACATGCTGCCGCTAAAATAATTAAACATACAGCCACAGTACTGCCCAGCAAGATAAATGCAGTCATTTAAAATAAGCTCTATAAATAAATAAATAAATAGAAAAACCTCCATGTAAACTGAATAAAATGTCACTTCTCTTACAGTGCCCAAAGAGGGAATGGCATTACTAAATAATATAAATTTTCCATACTGTATATATTTCTCTATATCTGATACGTTTTGGCATGGACAGATGGATAGGAAAAAGTAGGATGATTAACTTCATTCAATATTTGTTCTGTTGAAGCCAAGCTCCTGCGTTAGTATATATTGCTAACCATTCCTATAGCGGTTTGGCCTTTTTACCCATCTTGGATTTTGCGCTTGCTTTCCTGGCAGAGCAGACTGGTTCACCTTTCTTTTGTGCTCTCCATATTTCTCTTGAGCAATCAACAGGTTCATAGAAGCATTTCACTGGCTGCAAGCTGGTTTTTTCATCCTTTGCTTTTTTCAGCAAGATTCTCCCTTTTTGAAAGGAATGAGGCTTTGCGTCAGGGACGTTATACGAAACGTGTTGACTTCCTCGGCTCCTGAAATTAATAACAGTGATTATTAATAACTATTATTCAATCTTGCAAAGTGAAAGATGTCCCAAACCCATACATTTTTGAAGACAGAAACAGCCTTGTTTTACAGGACCAGGCTGAAAGTTAAAAACAGAGTTTCAAGATGAATTACATTTCTCAATACTCAAAAGCATCCCTCACTATAAGAACCCCTACGTGTGTTACTGGTGGACTCTTAACGCATGTTCATCTGCGCTTTTATTCAGATAGCATACTGTGATTTTGGAGTGCTGAGACCTTCCTGAGGTCTATATTCTCGTAACTTGGTGATCTACAGGGATTTTAAAGATGCACATGTTCACGGCAACCTTCTGCAAAGAATGAACATCCCATGGTCTTTGGAAGACCACACAGCACCAATAACAGTAGAAAGTGGGTGCAGGAACTGTAGGAACTTCTTGGTGGGATCTCAGTGCTGCCTTGGACTGTGGCTGCTACTAATGGCCAATAGCTCAGGAAACTCCACGCTCTGCCTTTGTGCTGGCCACCCATCTAGGGAAACTTTACCTTTGCTTTTAGGCTTTCATTTGAAACAGGAGAAGAGGAAAGGGGAATACAGAAATTGGTGGGAAGAAGGGTACAAAAGCTTAAAGGCCAAAGTAAGCTGAATTCTTTGTTTTCTCTGTGATGGTTCAGGCCCAGCAGGATTTGCTGAAATCGGTGAGCTCAGGTGGAGTGACAGCATGGTGCCTGGTGCTGCAAAGGCTGAACCATGCCCTCTGCTCTGAAATTTTACACTGAAACTGCAGTTCCACAGTTTAGCTAAGATCGATCATTACAGTCCCTTTGAACATAATCTTGAAATGTTTTACAGCAGATACATGTAGTGTAACAGCAGCACTTATGAACGTAAGGCACCAGCTCATGTCTGCCCAGCTGCTGTGACTGAAGTGAAGAACAGATGTGCTGATGTACAAGTCGATCTCTTAAGGGGTCCCGTAGGGCTATTTTCCATAGCTCATTATTTCTGGAAGCCATGTATCTGAAGTATTACTTCTCCTGGGAGTTAAACAATATTGCACACTTGACAAAGCCAGTTTTGGAAAAAGCTGTGGTTGTTCAAGTGCATGCAGGGCAAGCCCTCTCCTGCTCTTTAAAAGACCAGAAGGGTGTCACGAAAGCCTCTGTATTTGTTGGTGGGAGGCAGTGAGGGCCAGTCGACAGCACAGGAACCGAGCCTTACCTACGGAACAGTTTTACCTGGTTGGCAGCTTTGCCAACCACACTTCACTATGGGGAAGTTTTGGGAGGAAAATGCCGTGCAGGTCCAAGCTGGAGCTTGCAGGTGCTGTGCCATGCTGGCCTGGTGCAGGCCTGGGCTCTGACCACTTGCTAGGGGTGAGAAATGACTTGAGTAAATGCACAAGTGTTGGCTACTCTGGTTTACGATCACTTCTTAAGCACTGTTGTTACAGTCCATTACTTAGTTGTTGTTAAAAGATGTAGTGCTCTGTTTTTCTCAGATGTTGTTATGGTGAAAAAGTTACATCATTTATTCCCAAAGCACATGCAGGCCTTATTGCAGGTGATGTTAGTCACTCCTTTGCTGCACTGAATGATGCTATTAAAACCAGAAGAAGGTCAAGGTTAATATGATCAGAGGGGATTGCCTAAAAGAGCTAAACTGTATTTAAATTGAACGAGTTTATGGTAGAGAAGACGGATGTCTGTCCCTAATTCACAGTCAGGGTAAGAAGGTATCTAAGACGGATGAAGATGCAGGTCATTGCACATGAAATGCAATGCTGCCAGCTCCAGATGCGGGAAATGTTTTTTCACTGAAAGCGGCAGCTCCTCGATACAAGTGACTGTGAGAGTCTGAACTTCTACTCAAACATATTCCTAAACTGTCGCATTATGGAGAAAGACTGAAATGATGTGACTAAATGCACCCCACTGCCACAGACACTTAAGAACAATCCTATTCTTGCTGCATTTCACAAACATCAGGTATTTTTCAAGACAGGTCTCATGATTTCGAGAGACCTAATTCTTGGCTTCTTCACAATGGGAGCTGGCATTTAAAGTTGATTTAGGCACAGATGTGCCGGCAAAGTGCACAGTGCCTTTGAGAAACGGCTGGTGAGCATCAGCAAAGTTCTGCCATGCCCTCAGTGGGGCACTTCTTGAAAACAGCCAGGAGAAACTGGAGAAAAGGAACTGGGAAGCAAGGCAGAGGCCTTGGAGCAAGAGGGATTGCAAGTCCAGCCATTGATCCCAAACAACATAAGCCATCGGTGGCCCCAAACCCCCTGAGACTACACTGAATTTTCTGGATGGGTAGTAACACTTCCCAATTTTTTTAACTGGTACATATCATTAAAACCTTGTTTTATGTACTGAGCTGAGTTAGAGCTCTTAATAAAGCTGGTGTGGTGAATGCAAATGCTGGATTCATCCACAGAACAGGCAGAGCAAAATAAAACTTTCCCAGCCCTCTGAGCATCCTCTCCTCTATCCTCCCTGCTTCATAGGACAAGTTGGGATATTTTTAATCTGGTAACTCCAAATAAAGGCTACTACTAAATTCTAGTTTTGACAATGTCTTTTCAAAGGAGAAGTATATCAGTAGTTAAACAGAAACCTCTAAACAATTTCATATATGCCTTTGAACTCCCACTATTTGTCAGCAATTAATGGGTTTTACCAAACTGCATTATATTTAGACCAAGGACTTGTCAATGGAAGGACTCATCTCACTGAGTCACTGAATTCACTGGTTATATTTTAATTCTATTTTCCTTGATTCCAATCATATTAAGACATCTAGAAGCCTGTAAAGTGTATACACAGTCAACTCAAAGTCTACTTTGGATAATCAAGTTTTTCCAGAATCTCAAATCAGTAGGAAAAAAAAAAAAACTATAAAAGCTATGAAAATAAAAAGTAGAAAAAACAAAGCTAAAGCCCCATGCTGTTAATTATTAATGCAAACACTGCTTATCAGCAAAAGGGTACTTGACCAGTTGCCTGCTAGGACTAAGATATATGAAAAACAAAACCCAAAGAGCAAAAAGCCCCCCCAAAACCCAGTAGGCTATACATTGTATTTTTAGTTTATTTTCCAGTCCATCCATCTGTTCATGTGTCTCTCAGTCTTCCAGTAATTCTTGAACCTGTTGGTCAAACACAAACAAATCTGGAAGGGAAGCACAAGTCCCAGACTTGTGGTGACGCAACAGGTTTCATGGCAACGGGAAAAAGACCCAAACTCGTGTCCCCACTAAGAAAGGTTGTCCTGAGGAGGGATGCACTGCCTGATCATCGTTTGGCCAAGCAGCACGCGTGATGCTCTGAACCAGCCGCTGGGACTCATGACCAAGTCACAAAGACATGGGAAACCAGCCGCAATTAGTTCTGCTGCTCCCAGGACAGCTGCTTGAGTAACCTGAGATGTTGTTAGTGCCCGTGCTTTGTTGGGTCACTTGTTTGATTACACGTGATTATTGAGGCAACAGTGTTACTGTCAGTTAGGAAATGACAACTGTCGATCTCCTACCTACAGAATGTTAAAGATATTTTCAGCTGAACTTGGCCTGTGTTTGCTGAAGAGATTCAACTACTGTAGCTTTGCAATAGG